ACAGCACCCACCTTCAGATCTCATTTGCATTTCCTCCCAGGAGGCACGTGGCTCCTGACATGATGGTGTGTTTTCTATTACAGACGGAGGTGGATGTTCCAGAGCAGGAGGACCACTTTCTTCGTAATCTCTGTCTAATTTTCTTCTTTCTGTTTCTTTTTCTTTTTGGAAGGGCTACTTCTGTGTAGCCCGGGCTGGCCTGGATCTTGCCATCCTCCTACCTTAGGGCTCGCATGACTGCAGGGTAGGCCTGATGTGCCCTGCCTTCCCTCTCTACTCAGGTGGACAAGGACTGGACATACTTAGTCTTGTGGGCACAGAGTCCCCTTCCCAGGAGGGTCTGGAATCAGGGGAATGCCCTTGTCTGCTGCTGCCCTTGACCCAGAGAGGGCAGAATGCTGCCCAAGGACATAGTGAGGGAGGGTCTAGCCTGGGATCCGCCTCAGCCAGGGGCATAGACTGTTGGGACTACAAGTCTAAAGAGACAACCCTGACCTGAATGAGCAGCTTATAAAGGCAAAAACATTTTTTAAAAGACTTTTTTAATTTATTTAATTTTCATTTTATGTGCATTAGTGTGAAAGCGTCAGATCCCTGGGAATTGGCACTACAGACAGTTGTGAGCTGTCATGTGGGTGCTGGGAATTGAACCCGGGACCTTTGAAAGAGCAGCCAATGCTCCTGATCACCAAGCGATCTCTCCAGCCCCCAAAATCTTTTTAGCTTCAGTATTTTCCATTTGTATAGCTGTGGTGACTGTCAGTAAGAATGACAGTATTGCGATTTTAATAAGAACAAGATACAGTTGTCTCCCTGTTGTATTTCTGTTTGGCCGGGGAGCAGAAAGCCTTGCAGTTACAGAAGGGGAACAATAAAGTTATCAAAAAATCCCAGTATGTATCGTAATACCTGAGGGTTTTTACCTGTTTTATCCTGAGGTCGGGTCAGGATTTAGCAAACATGTTTTTATTGCTTCATTGACTTATTCGTGTCTTCTGCAATAAATGTTAACTTACACCTAAGGCAAAAATCTTACCGCAAGGGCTGATCCTGTCGCCACACTAAGCTCTCATTCAGCAAGACTATATGTTTGCTGTGTATGTGTCTGTAAATATACAGACACAGACCACGAGAAGGTGAAGAAAGCATTCCTTAGAAGATCAACACTGTGGAGCAGGAGGGAGGGCTCCGCACTGAGGGCACTGGGAACACTGCACAGACGTGGCACACAGGTTTATGCTCAGGAATACACATACAACTAAAAATCACACTGGGTGTTCTGATGCATGCCTTCTGTTCCAGCAGCCTAGAGGCAGAAGCAAGTGGATCTCTGTGACTGGAGGCCAGCATGATCTACACCGTACATTCTAGGCCAGCCAGACCTTCCCAGGGAGACTGCCCCCATCGGGAGGGTATGGAGAGATCAGAGATTAAGAACTCTATCTGCTCTTACAGGGACCTCTGGTTCAGTTTCCAGCATCCACAGGGCAGCTCCCAGTGATCTGTAACTCCAGGTCTAGGGCATCCGATGCTCTCTTCTGTCCTGTAAGGGCAAGGCACACATGTGGGTACACAGGCACGCATGCAGACAATACTCTCACTCACATAAAAATACACCCGTTAAGCAGATTGACTGAAGTGATGTGGAAATGAGAGAGTGGCTTATT